CCCCCCGCCGCTAATTAAAGTGAAGTCAAGCTGTACTGAGCAACCCTGCTGCCGCCTGCTGCCTTAGAACAGTAGCACACTTCTTCTGTCAGCACCAGCCTGGCCAGCAGGACTAGGGAAGTGGTTGTCCCGCTGTCCTTGGCGCTGGTGGCGCCATACTTTGAGTGCTGGGTTCAGTTTGGGCCCCTCACTACAAGAGAGATACTGAGGTGCTGGAGCGTGTCCAGAGAAGGGCAATGAAGCTGGTGAGGGGTCAGGAGAACATATGAGGAGTGGCTGAGGGAACTGGGGTTGTTCAGCCTGCAGAAAAGGAGGCTCAGGAGAGACATTATTGCCCTCTACAGCTCCCTGCGAAAGGAGACTGTAGCCAGGGGAGGGGGGGTCAGTCTGCTCACCCTAGTAACAAGCAATAAGACAAGAGGAAATGGCCTCAAGCTACACCAGGGGAGGCCTAGGTTGGATATTAGGAAAAAATTCTTCCATGAAAGGGTAGTCAGGCATTAGAACAAACTGCCCAGGGGACTGGTTGAGTGACCATCTCTCTAAGTATCTAAAAAACATGCAGATGTGGTGCTAAGGGATGTGGTTTAGTGGTGGACTTGGCAGTGCTCTGCTCAGTTTCAGTGCCTGTGCATTTGGGTTGAAGGTTTTCCACTGTTCTTTGTTTGTTACTTACACAAACATAAAGCATATACAGCTTAAAAGAGAACAGATGTCTTCAGCACTCTTTGGTGCCCCCTGAACAGCAGAACCCCAAGTGGGAGATCTTTAAGACACAGTATGTGAGTATCATTCATTAGACATTTAAACAGCACAGGGGAGTTTGCCCTTTGGATATCTGAGAAGCTCTGCTGGGGGAAAAAAAAATGATTTTTTAATTCCTCTAGGGTTTGTCTTTAAAAGGCAGCACTGTGTTCCTGATCTTACCCTGTGATACACCAAACCAAAGAAGTTTTTTCCAGCTGTTGGGTACTGGAGACTGGGGGAAGTACCTGCGTCGTTGACAGCGTTGCGCATCTCGTAGCTGTTAATGGTGCCCGAATGATCCGTGTCGTAACGCTTGAAAATTTTCTGGAAAAAGAAAGAGAAATAAATACACAGCAGAAATAGAAGCATGTGCTCCTGTTGAATGCACGCACTGACTGGGTGTGGGGTGTGTGCCTCGGGCACTTGGAGGCTTTGCTATTTCCCTGATTTCACTGCTGCTGGGCAGCGGGGGTTGTTAGCACAGAGCTCCTCTCAGTCACAAAGTGAAATAATTTAGATCCATGCCATAAGAAGCAAAGAGATCTCTCCCTAGAGACTATCCTTGTTTGATTTGAGCTTATGCTCTTAATAATTTCTCCTGATTGCCCTAATTAAGCTATTTGTGAGGCCTGATTCGAGTTCCCATCTTCCTCCTCTTCTGATTTGTATGCCTCTGTTCTGTTCTCCTGGGGAAAGTCCTCACGTGAGTGCTGGAGCTTCAGAGATTCAGGATATTTGCTTAAGCTGTGAGTAGGATGAGGAGAGATGTTACTTTTCTTTTTAGAAGCTAATTTGCAATTTTTTTAGCTTTTCTTTTTGTTATAGTGTACGTAGAGAGTTCTGGCTTTCCTACAGCTTTTGTGCTGCAGAAGCTGTGAAGAACAGCACTGTGGATACTATCAGTACCTGCCAGCTTTTAATCTTGTCCCAGAGATGTCGAAACTCATCAAAGTTTATCTTCCCTGAGCCATCTGTCTGTGATGCAAACATTCAGGTAAAAAAACCGCGATATTTTGAAGAAGAAAATAATAGTTAAGTCTGCAACTACTGGTGAAGGGATGAATGTGAAACTGAGTCTAGGATCTCCTCAGCATTAGGAGCTGGCTGAGCTGTGCAGTAAAATATTTGTGAATGTTTCTGTTACTGTGTATAGTATTTTGTTTGAGGAGTGTGAAGTATTTTGTGTTTAAATGCAAATATCTGGTACAGGAGAGCAGCTTGCTCCTGGAGCTGTTAAAAAGTGTGTGAGCAGGATGTTTTAGTGGGCTCTTTCCACATACCTCCAAATGTGGAACTTACCCAACCTTTTTAAGACAACTGAGCTTTTTCCTAGAGTGAAGCTCTTTCTGCCTTGCTTAAAATGAGCTGAGAACTAGGCAAAATGTTGACTAAAGCCATTTACAAAAGTGTGTCAAGGCTCCAGCTATTTATGGTTCTGGGTTGTAGTTACAGTTTTCTTCTTCTCCTGTTTGAATGAGCTTGTGTTCTGTCAAAATCATCTGTTATATCAAATAAGAAAACTGGGTGATGTTTTATCAGAGGTAACAGCACATGGCACCTTGTAGTGCATCTTATTATACTTGCTCTGAGTTTCTGTGTGTGTTGCATGCTATGCACACAGTGGAATACATAATATATTATAAACTTAAGAGAGAAATATAGTAAGCTTGTTGTCAAGAACCATAGTTATGTTGAGCTGGCTTTTAAAAAAAAAAATTGAATCATGTTTTAATGCCTAAACTGGCCAGTTGCTGACACCTAAGGAGCAGTGTCATACTGACTGATTTAGGTTTCTGTTTTGGATTTTTTTCATCTGCCAGCTATGCTAATGTTGAGGTAACTGGGGTTCAGATGTGCCAAACCAGGAGTGCTGTGTTGTCTGACTACTATTCTACTTCCCTGGCTTACTGAGCTGTGTGTGCATGGCTTGAGTCGTGTGGTGTCAAGCATTTCCCTTTCCCCAGAAAAGGATACATCCATTAGAGCAATCATGCTGCGGCAGGATTCCAGTTCAAATCCTTCTGTCCTGAGGTCCTTATCTGAAAAAAAATGATTCCAAGTGAAAATAGGTCATGTAAGTCAACAAGTGCTGCTGCTTCTTAGGTGTAAATCTACTTAAAGTAAAAGCCAAACCTACTTCCTTCAGCCAGAGGAGAGGTAAAGAAATCTGAAAAGATTCTAAGTGATGTTATTGCTTGTGAATTAGAGATTACTTTTCTTGACCTGTTATATACAATAAAACCTCTGGAAAACTCTAATTTCCTCATAACTAAGCAAGGCCATGGTCTGTAGGCTAAAGTTTGTTAAAAAGGAAGAAAGGTCTGCCTCTCCATTAGAGTCTTTGTAAATTTTTTTTTTTAAGGGCATTTGCAGTCTCCTAGAAATGCTTTATTGTTTTGTGTGGTGCTTCCAATGAACTTTTGCTCATTTCTGCATTTTCTGTACTTGTTCACTCAGAGAGCAACTCTAGCAAGCTGAACTTTTCATAAAGTCTCAGATGCAAAGGCCATGGAAGTGTAACTAGGAAATTTGTGAGTTTGAAACCATAAATAATTTTTAGAGTGCAACTCAGAGTGGAAGGTTACATTAAATCACAGATTTCTTTTTCCAGGGTTACAGAAAAACTTGCTCAAACTCACGTTTTTTTACAACGTTATTGAGAACATTCCTGAGTTCTTCAGCATTGATCTCCATGTCCTGGTGGGAAATGTGGCAAAAATATAATTAATTACAACATTTCTTATTAAGCAGATAATTTTATGAATGAATATGCTAAAAATATTAAGTCTTTGGTCACATTTCAGTATGGCATATATATGTTTCAAACAAGTGTTCTAGTTCATATAAACATTAGTCCAAGTCTTTCTTGAGGCGACGATACCAGGTAGGTCTAAAGTTACCATGTAGTGTTTATTAAACTACAACCAAAAGAATGACCAGAAATTTCAAGCCACTATTTAAGCTAAAAAGCCAGATGTGAAAATCCTTATAACTCATTTGCAACGTCTTGATTTATGTGGTTCTTTGTTCTGTTTTTACTTTTAACTAACCTCATGAAGCACAGACTGGAGGGCATTGCCTTTCTAACTTGTTTATTATACATGCTATGCAAAACAGCATCATGTAGTGGTGATAGAATTAAGAGCCTGAATTTAAATAAGGCTCCCTCACACACAATGGGAATAGTCTAGATGTACATATGAGGATAGCTGTCTACTTAATTGGGTTTTGATTTGATGTTGCTTAGCTTCAAATCTCAAAGGAAGTTTGATGGAAGGAAATTCAAAAGGAAATTTTAAAATTCGGTGGTTTGAGTCCTTGCAGCAGTTGATTTAGGTGCTGTTGTGGGTAGGCAGCTGTGGTGGTGGAGATGGGGGTTGGTTGCATACTCACATCTCCTGCAATCTGTCGAAAAATATTCCTGAACTGTTTTTCCTCTTCACTTCTCTCACGAGCTTTTGCTGAAGAACGCTGAAAGGCAACAAGCAAAGAAAAGATGCATCCTTAGCCCAGCAGGGAAGGGAAAGGGCCTGGATGGTTCTCTCACCCTCAAGTCGGGGACCCTCCTAGGAAATCTGGAGGCTTTCAGAGGAACAGGTCATCTTCCTGTTCCTTTTGCCTTTTTTTTCAATTAATGTGTTCTTTGGCCAAACTGCCGAGTATTTAACTTCATCCCAGTTCTCCTTTTCTCTTAGAAGGAGCCTAAATCATTGCTTCCACTGACTGATGTTTATCTTCTAATTTTTTGTTTCAAAATATTGCAAAGGAGAAGTTTGGAGCAGAAGAGGTATATCTGCTCCACAGCCACCCTGTAGGCTATGAACTGACTGGAGAGACTTGGGCTTGAGACCTCTTTGTGTTGGGGGGGCTTGCTGGAGACAAGTAGCACAGGAGACAGAGGGAAAGGATGAAGGTGAAGCTTTCTCAGATGCATGCCAAGAGCAAGCCTGAACTCTGAGGCTGATAGTGGGGAAGGGATCTCTCACAGCCAGGATCCTTGTATGAGAGAGCAACCAGGGGATGTTTTCAAGCAACTCAACCCTCCAGTACAGGTGTTAAATAACTGAAGGGGTAGTCTCTGTTCACTCATGCTTGTTAGACCCACATAAACCAAATGCCAGTCATGCTAAGACTTGATTAAGAGCTTTTTAAGTATCTTAGGACACTTCTTTGCCCTGTTGCTGTGCTTTCCCCAGCCGCTCTTTCTTGCTAGCCAGACCAAGCCCTATTTCCCCCTCTGCCACTTGCTGCAGAAACCTTTTTCTCATCTGCGTGGGCTTTTTCACCATCTTTGCCAGCATCTCCATCTGCTGTCAGCTCCTTATTGCTGTTTGCTCTGTCAGAAACAAAGATGATAGGCTAGAACAAGAAGAAGGAAGAAGGCAAAAGAAAAATGGAAGATAAGAAATAGCTGAAGGGCTGATATTTGGTGACAGCCATTCTGAGCTAAAGTGCATGCAGCAACAACTCCCACCCCTGAGAGCATGACCAGAGAAGCCAAAGCTGGGAATGAAAGGAAAGAAAGGAAGAAAAACAAAACAAAGCCCAACCAACCAACAAAAAAAACCCACAACCAAAACCACCCAAAATAAACTGAACAACCAATCACACACACATGTAACAACCCACCCAAAAAAACAACCAGACCCCACAAGAAACAAACACTCAAACCCACACTGTGGAAGAATTCCTGAAGCTACTGTTCAAATAGCTGTTCAAAAGTCTTTTGTGCAATTTCTGGCTTCTATCTTTCCTTTTCAGAAAGCCAGCAACCATTTAAGTGGTTTTAAGTAAAATAAGCCTCCCAGATGCTTGATTCTCAGTTAAACTGATGAGCTTGCCCCCCTCTTTGAAGAGCAGTAGTACTGAAAACAAACAGAATCTGAATCTTACAGAGAAAAGGAGTATTTGTGTAGGAGCCTGTCAGTTATGTGAAGCGTATGTTTTCTCTGGGTCAATTCTTGAAGCATTCAGCTGTAAGCAGCCACATGCCTGGTTTTATGCATTTCAAATAAGGAAAGCTTCTATGTGATGCAAACGTGTTACCCCAGAGTATTAACTGCAATTGGCCTGTCTTGAGATGAAAATGTCTGAGGACATTTTCAAGGTCCTAAATATGTTGTGTAGAATTGAAAGGAGAATCCTGTACTTTGGTGAGCAGAAGCTTCAGGAAAGAGGAGTAGCTGCATTAGGCAATAGAAAGCAAATGTGAGGGCACGTGTTTGCAGAAGGGGGGCTTTTCACTCAACAGGGGTGCTGGGCTGCCTGTGAAGGGGCAGGAAGGATGGGCAGTTTGAATAACCCAGAGTATCAAGCTTATAAAGCTGAAAAGTTTCTGTTACCCTTGAGTCAGGGGAGTATATGAGGCTAATGCAGTTTTATTATCTAGTGCAGGAAGACAAAATCTTTGCTGCCTGCAAAGAGCCTCTTATCCAGTGCCCTTCATCAACTGGATCACTTTCCAGATGCAAAGGAATCATGGTACCAATGGACTGTGCTCCTGCTGCATGCATGGCACATGCTCTTTGCTTTGCTGCCACTCAGCACATTGCACAAGTACCCACCTTGCCCTTTTTTTTCTGTACAAAAAGAGACAAATTTTTTTTTTAAAAAGTGCTTTTTAAACAGCATTATTGCTTTATCAACATTATGTAAAGCTGATAGTAAAGTAGTTGGTTTATTTTTCCTCTTGCCCTTTGTCATGTTTATTTTTCCCATTCCTATATTCATACATTTTTTTCCCATTTCCTATATTAATACAATTTTCAAATCTCAAAAAATGAAGGAAAAAGACACCCACCAAGAAACTGCATACTAAAGGACAGAAATTGCAGAAACCTTAGCAAAACAGTGTCTCATCTCATCTGGGCCTTCATCTGCTTGGATAAAATCTATAGTGTACCTTTTAACTCTGACTATTCCTTTTCTTTTTCCCCACCCATCAATGCAGTGGAGATTGGATTTCTGTACCCACAGATCAACATTATATGAAGTGGCAATTAAATTGCACCATATCTGGACAGATATTTTGTTATCATGGCAGCAGATGAAAGGGGAATGCTTCTGGGCAAGGTTTGATGGAGCTCAGTTCTGTGCAAGAGCATTTTGTCTGATTTTTTTCCTTTTTTTTTCTCAAGATGAATTGTATTGTTAGTTCTAGTATATTCCTACAAAGATGTGTAAAAAAAATCCAACAGAGTGAAGAGTTAGAGGTTGTCATGGATCCTACTTTGGATCAGAGTATTGTTAGGAACCCTTTCCAGAAAGCAGGTACTTCAAAAGAAGGTACGTTTTTTATTCACTGAGATGCCAGTTTCACAAACAAAATATTTTGGAGCAAAGAGATAGGTCTACCCTGGTCAATGATTAATCTCCACTGATGGAGGCAAAGGCATTGTCTGCTTAACATCCAGCTTCTTTATGCCAGGAGCAGATTTCAAATCTGGCAAAAGATTTTGGTCCGACCGAGTTGGAAAGTAGTGGTTGTCAAGCAAGTGTTAATAGAACCACCTTAATGAGAAATAATGGGGGAATTTATGCTAAAGGAGCTGTCATGTGGCTGCAAATGGGGTCCTGCTGCAGGTTTCTCTAGATGTGATGCTTCTCCTCTCCCTGCTCCTGTTCATGTACAAAAGAGGCCCAGGGCAGCACTTACCGATGGACGCTCTGCCTCAATCATGTTTCCAACCTCCCTAGAAGAAAGGAGAAGGTAAATAAATCAGCAAAATTACAGTTTCTAATGTTTCTTGTTCCTGTAGCTGGTTTGTAAGCTGCCACTTGAACTTTCCAACCAGCCAGTGATGTGGGCTGTCTTCTAAAGCCTGCAGCTGTAATGCTTGGATGTAGCTTTTTCCCAGTTCAAGCTAGGCATTCCAGATGCCACTTCCAGGAGGGCTGCTGCCTGGCTTCCTCCTCTAAAGAGCCTTGATAACACTGAACTTTGATAGCTGGGTGTAAACCAGAAGCTATTTGGCCTAAATAGAATGACACTAGCTGCAATTTGCTGAGCTCTGAGAAGCTAGTTGAAGAGGAGGATGGAAAAGAAATAACTACCTACTTCTGTGCTTCATTTGTGACTGAAATTAGGTTTAGTTCAATGATCCATCTGGCTAAAGCTTCAGTCAGTGGCATATAGGAATATAAACCAAACAGGTTCATTTTCATTAATAAAAATGGCTAAGGGTACATTTGCAAAGGCAAGCAGTAAGCTTCTCCAAAGACAGTTCCAATCAGGCTTTTGTTAGACTACAAAGGAAGCTTGGGGCAATGAGTTTAGAGCTTGGAGTTTCTAATGAAGAAACTGAAAAGAAAAATAAAGAATAAAATTAAAAGTAGGGCATGGTAAACTAGGAATATGACTGTAGCAGACTACTGGGCTCACCTCCACCTTTATGGGCAGATGAATGGACCTGCAACTTACTCTGAGAGACTTCTTTTCTCGGAGAAGACCCTGAGGATGAACTCCCCCTCCTGGTGGGGCTCGTAGGTGGAGGGGATGATGACGTACTCGCTGGGCGGCAGCCGGAAGCGCTCGGAGATTTCCCGCATGTTGATGTAGGTCTTGCTCCTGGCTTTGGAGGCGTTGTAGAGGAAGAAATCCTTTTGCAAGTGGTGCTTAGTACCGTGCATCTGCAGAGCAAATGAGCTGATTTATCTTCAAGGAAGTCTTACCCGTTCCCCAGGTGGCTTGTCATGCAAGGCAGGACATGGTTGGGGCAGAAAACGTAAAGGGTGCAGCAGCTTAGCAAGCAGGGACCCAGTGAGGGATGCTAGCTGGTAACAGATATGGAATCTGTCACCTTTCAGTCACTGCTGGTTGGGTCTAGCTGGCTTCTGAGGGCTGCTCCAGGGCCCACCTGCAGAGCATTGGCTGCTTTCTGCTGTGTACTGCTATGCTAAGTAGTGTGTAACCAAAGTTCAGGTGCTTTTCTTGGAGGGTGGCATGGAACGGAATGGTACATGCAAACTCTTACATGTGGTCTGGTAAGGGGAAGGTGTTTTCAGTGGAAATGTGTCCTTGCTTGGATAAAACATGAATTCTGTGTCTGCTAAAGAAACATGATAATCAACCATGGCATTGGCTCACATGAACATGAAGTCAAGAGCTGTGAGCTAAGAATACTTGCAGGCCATTTTCTGTAGAAATAACCACCTGTAAAACAGCCAGCAGAGTCAACATTCAGACTGCCACCTTCATCTTTTTCAGGTAACATAGCTTTCAGGTGAGCTTCTTTGCAAAACCCATGATGCCAATGATTTAGCTACTGGCAGGCTTGAAAAACCTAATCTGTGTGGTTTTACTATGTTTTCTTCAACGGCTGAAAATATCACTGATTTTCCAAACAAAGTCTAAGACTATAGAGAAAACTCTGTGGCTGCAGGATATAGGCTATTGGCATTATTTGCAGGAGGAAATGGAAATGGTTCAGAGTGGTTCTGCAAGCAGTGCTAAAGCAAAGTGCTCACTGACCCACCCTGCAAACCACAGCCAGGTCTCATACAGAGTGAAAAAGAAGGACTGAGGAAAAGATGCAAGTGAAAATGGGGTGTGGGTGAGAAGGAACTAAAAATTACTTGCAAGACGTTATGAATAAACACTCAAAGCAGGAAGGTTAGCAGTCTCAGTTCTGTTACATCCCTGAAAACAAAC